GGGGGGGGGCTCTGCCCCTCTTCGCGCACCTGACGGCCGACACCATCGTGAACGGCAGCGCCACGTCCCACCTGGCTCCCACCGACCACGCTGACCGTGAGTGCTGTCTGTGTGGGTGCAGCTGGTGCTGGGGGGGGTTTGGGGGTGGTGCCTGTTTTTGGGGGTGGCTGTGCCAAAGCTGCCTCTGCTGGGGGCTGGATATGGGGCAGATCTTCCCCAGGGGCAGCACGTTTCCCTCAGCTCCCTGTGCTCCCCTTCCCGACATTCCCTCCCCTCCGGTGCCCCTTCCTGGGTCAGGAACATCCCTTTGCTCCTGGGAACTGATTTGTGCTCTTCTGCAAGAAATTTGCTGGATGCCACTGGTGCTGAGCATCATCTCCATAGCCAAGGGGAGGAGGAAGAGCAGGGTGGCAGGGCGGGGATGGAAGGACCCCTTGCCCAGTGAGGGACCTGGCACTGACCCATCCTCTCCCCAGGGCTGACGGAGACGTGCCGGGACTGTGGGCAGCAGAGCCTGGACTACCTGGGCAAGCTGAAGGACAAGCAGACGTTGGGGTGTGCTGAGCTGGGGGACGTGCGGCGGGTGCTGCGGGGGGTCCTGCAGCTGGCCCAGGTAGGAGAGGGAGCCCCGTGCACCCATCTTCAGCCCGGGGCTGGCACAGTGGGATATTTACTGGCATTGGTATTTCCTAAAGGAAAAATCAAAGCACTGTGTTAAAGCAGAGGGACGTTGCTTCTGTTTGTTAAGGTGGGATGTTTGTTTGCTCACAACCTTCTGGCTGCATCCCAGGGAGGTGATGGACAGCTTTTTTAAAAAAAAATAAAATATAAAAATCAAGCCATGGCTTTCACTATTGTCCAGAGCTGAAGTTGGAGACACTGGGTTGGAGTGAGCACTTTGGGATGGTTTGTCCCCCATACTCACAGATTTTGGTGCTTTTCTTGAGCCATCTCAGCTTCCAAGCACCGAGACCCTTCCTGGTGATTTATGGAGTCAGTCACCCTCAGATCACCCAAGTCTTTCAGTGCAGCAACCCCTGCAGAATAAAACTTCTCAACTTTTAGATTTCTCTTCTTGTGAAGTCCCCATTAGTCTTTTCCATTAAACCACTGTTAATTCAAAGGCCATCAGCTCTCTGAAGCACTCTGGAGCCCTGTC